GTTGAATGGTTCGCTATGAAAAAAAAAATCTCCATGACAGAATTGACAGTGCAACGATACCAACATTCTCGGCCAGTACTGGTCCCCGAAGTCTCGGCAGTAAAAAAAAAATAAATTCAAAAACATATATCGCCCCTCCAGCAGGGACCTGAAGAGAGAAAAAATAAGATTCTGTAAACAGTTGAGACAATGGGATTTACTGGAGAGTGAAAAATCTGGTGCAGCTGTGCATAGTAGCCAATCAGCTTGTTCAGTTAAGCTTTGGCAATAAAACCTGGAAGCTGACTGGTTTCTATGCAGAGCTGCACAAGATTTTGCACTTTCCACTTTTAGCAAATAAACCCCAATGGGACATAGTTCTAGTCTACCAAGGTTAAAGGGATAAACACATACAAGGTTTCATTTTCAAAAGAAAACCATTTCATATTTTTAGTATATTGTGTTTTTTTTCTTAGTTAGTAGTTAGCGATTGCAGTTGGGAATAAAGTAATGCTGAGATACGACACCGCCTTAAGAAGTCATAGGACCTTGTAATAATAGTCTTGATCATGTCACAGAGTAAGGAGTACAGTAAGTATTTAGCAAACTTCAAGCAACTTTGTTGACGCCTCTAACGAACACTTTGCTGCCAGTATGGGGATAAGAAACATATCTTAAAGCGGCACGGTCACTAGAATAAAATTTTCAAGGCAAAACATGCCTGTAAAAGAAGACTAAATACTTTTTTAACTGCCACTCTGATACTGAGAAATTGCACCCCAAAGCACACTGCAAAACTGACACTTGTCAACATCCTGGTGCCCCCCACTTTCCACTGTTTTGACCTGCTGACCTTAAGGTTGGGCCTGAGGGCAGTTAGTTTGTGAGATACATCTGACCACCTTCAGAAGTTTACAATCATACGTTTTTTTTCCACTTTATTTGAGGAGAAACAGAATGTGTACTTGGGAGGATGATGTCACCCGTTTATCAAGGGAAGCTTTGGTGCAGCATGGAGATTGGAGCTACTCTCAAGTAGCCATGAAATAGCTGATTTCTGGTATTGCAAAGTATTTTGTCATAAAACAGCCAACACAGATTATTGTGCAGAGAAGACTCACGTATAACCTCCAAAGTGGGTCTGTACAAGAATGAATTGTACACAAGTTTCCTGTCTAATAACTGCCTGCAATCTGCTTAGATTTCTTTCAGATGGGAAGATTTCATCCTCTAAGATCACACTGGTGTATTCATATGGCTTCTGAAATACTTTCTATTTATTTTTAAACAGCATCCCCTCATAATGTCCATACCTGTTGTACCTGCAGTTGTAGTTCACCCATTTTAAGCTAGTTTTGATTAAACTAAGGCAGCCCATAGAAGCCTTTTTTTTTTTATCCAGCAGGTTGAATGAAAAAAAAAAACTTGGAGTCCCCCATCCACACATTCAAGGTTCAATCCTCCCCGCTGTGCAATACACTGATTGAGTGGACAGTTGTACAGAATACACTGTCAGGACGGTTGTACAGAAGTCAATTGGTAGATCAACCTCCCTGCCCATACATGGATCAGAATTTGGCCGGTCCCTGCTGAACCGCCTTAATTTCAATCCATGTAAGGCCGGCTTAACAGCTGTTGGTAGCCCAGAAAACTATTGTACGTGATATCACATTACTAAAAAGTTTGGCTTTATTCATTGAAATGCCAAGCCAATAAAATATCTGAAGTTTAAAGCCTTATGCAGGCCATAGATGGGTCGAAAATCGGCCGATTTTTCTTTTAAAAAATGAAAAATCGGTCGTTCAAGTGGCCGACGTTACCACCAATGGTAAAAAAAATCGGCCGATTTTCATCCTGTCTACAGCCGGCAAAAAGTGTCCCTGCAGAGAGCTCTGCTATTTCTTTGACAGTTCCTTGACTTACAGAGGTTGCAACAATGTATCTATTTGTATCCATTTAGGATACAGATGTTTTTTTCGGATTCGGAAACAAATAGATACAATGTTGCAACCTCTGTAAATGTCAAGGAACTGTCAAAGAATAGCAGAGCTCTCTGCAGGGACACTTTTTGTCGGACTGGAATTCCTTTTATTTTTCATCCTTCTTCTTCTCCTTCTTCATCATCATCCTCCTTCTTCATCATCCTCCTTCTTCTTCATCTTCTTTTCTTCATCATCATCATCATCCTCTTCTTCTTCTTCTTCTTCATAATCATCCTCTTCTTCTTCTACTACTTCATCATCATCATCCTCTTCTTTTTCTTCTTCATCATCATCTTCTTCTTCATCATCATCCTCTTCTTCTTCTACTACTTCTTCATCATCATCATCCTCTTCTTCTTCTTCTTCTACTTCATCATCATCATCCTCTTCTTCTTCTTCTCCTTCTACTACTTCTTCATCATCATCCTCTTCTTCTACTTCTTCATCATCATCATCCTCTTCTTCTTCTACTACTTCTTCATCATCCTCTTCTTCTTCTTCTACTACTTCATCATCATCCTCTTCTTCTCCTTTTTCTTCATCATCATCATCCTCTTCTTCTTCATCATCATCATCATCCTCTTCTTCTTCTACTACTTCATCATCATCCTCTTCTTCTTCTTCTACTTCTTCTTCATCATCATCCTCTTTTTCTTCTTCTTCTTCTACTTCTTCTTCTTCATCATCATCCTCTTTTTCTTCTTCTTCTTCTTCATCATCATCCTCTTCTTCTTCTTCTTCTTCTACTTCTTCATCATCATCCTCTTCTTCTTCTTCTACTACTACTACTACTACTTCTTCATCATCATCCTCTTCTTCTTCTTCTTCTTCTACTTCTTCTTCATCATCATCATCCTCTTCTTCTACTACTTCATCATCATCATCATCATCCTCTTCTTCTTCTACTACTTCATCATCATCATCATCCTCTTCTTCTTCTACTACTTCATCATCATCCTCTTCTTCTACTTCTTCTTCATCATCATCCTCTTTTTCTTCTTCTTCTTCTACTTCTTCTTCATCATCATCCTCTTTTTCTTCTTCTTCTTCTTCATCATCATCCTCTTCTTCTTCTTCTTCTACTTCTTCATCATCATCCTCTTCTTCTTCTTCTACTACTACTACTTCTTCATCATCATCCTCTTCTTCTTCTTCTACTTCTTCTTCATCATCATCATCCTCTTCTACTACTTCATCATCATCATCATCATCCTCTTCTTCTTCTACTACTTCATCATCATCCTCTTCTTCTACTTCTTCATCATCATCCTCTTCTTCTTCTTCTACTTCTTCATCATCATCCTCTTCTTCTTCTTCTACTTCTTCATCATCATCCTCCTCCTCTTCTTCTTCTTCTTTCATCATCATCATCATCATCATCTTCTTCTTCTTCTTCATCATCATCATCCTCTTCTACTTCTTCATCATCTTCTTCATCCTCTTCATCCTTTTTTGTCTTCCTCTTGCAGGTCACTGCTCATGCGCAGATTTTTTATCGGTAAAAAAATCGGCCGATTAGCCCATTATTGCCGCGAAAATCGGCCCGCTCAGCCGATTTTTTTCCAACTTTCCCGATTAAAAAAAACAGCCAAAATACCGAAAAAACGGCCGAACAAATAGCCCACTAACGATCAGAAAATCGGCCGATTTTATTTTCGGCCGAAAAATCGGCCGATTTTCGACCCATCTATGGCCTGCATAACTCCAAGTTCACTTTCACTTTAAAATAGTTTCTTTGGACCAAGCTGGCTCTAATGAACAATTTCCTGTACTAATTGAGGTGATTACTTTCAGCACTGCATAAACTGTATGTAGCATCAGCAACAGTATACAGCACCATGTTCCTGCAGCAGCATTGAGCTTTTATTCGTATAGAGCAGGGGTGTCAAACTGGCAGCCCTCCAGCTGTTGCAGAACTACAAATCCCATCATGCCTCTGCCTTTGGGAGTCATGCTTGTAACTGTCAATCTTGCAATGCCTCATGGGACTTGTAGTTTGGCAACAGCTAGAGGGCCGCCAGTTTGACACCCGTGCTATAGAGGATCTAACAGAGAGTGTGAGGAATCAGTGTCTAATCTAAACCAATACAAATTTCATGGTCAAGGATAACTAAGAATGGTTTAAACAAATGCAGGACTGCAAAAGGCAGTGAACATGCTGCCAGACTTCAAAATATAACTTGTTACTTTTGAAATGAAAGAGATCCTCATTGGTGAATATAAGAAATCCTAAATTGCACAGTGTGTACAGGAATGGCATTGTTGACATCATCTGATGCTCCTGTACTATTACAAGGGATGGGTACACAGCCTGTGTCACAGGAGCACACGGATCCCCCTATCCCCTTCTTGGAGTACATGCCCTACCTCTTGTTATAGTAGAGAAGCATCAGCAGATGCTGCCACTGTGCCAACTGTGTAGTTAAAGGATTTAGCAAACTTCTAAATATATTTTAAAATATAGCTTACACAGCCCCTTTAGGAGTGCACCAGCTGTTTAATTTCTCAGTAAAATGGACTATAATAACTATAAAAATCACTTAATTGCTTACTTTTAAAGGGAATCTGTCAAGGCACAATACGGAAGCTGCCATTGTGCCAAGGATTGTCATTCATATCACTACTACCGCAACAACCAAGCAAACATAGAGGTGCCAGGACATCTGACCTGCAAGCTTGTTCCAGTTCAGTGAATCATTAAGTAATGAAGCAAGAATGGGGAAGACAGCCGTGGAACCTGAAACCTGAAAACCAAGTCAGCAATGGCAGCCTCGAATATCTATCCTGACATGTTCCCTGCAATATATAAACCTCACCTACACATAGTCCCTTTAAAAATTAGTTGTACAATTATCTTGCATAACTGCAAGACCAAGAAGAATAAACAGGGATGGTAAACATGTTAATGCAATTTTCACCCCAATCTACTATTTTTCAGAAACTGAATCATGCGCATTCCTATTACTAATATACAATGTAAAAGTCATAGCATTTAAGGCATTTTTTGTACTGTTCATATAACTCTTCTTACCCCGATGGTCACACGTAGATTCCAACCCACAAGAGAAGAAATAAGACCCCAAATCCCATGAAGAGTGAGGCTACCAATGAGATCAGCAGCTCCTTGTACACGTCTCTTGTGTATTTTGTTGATGTCACCTCATATCTACAAGTATGCATTAAGGAACACAACACAGGAGAAAACCAAGCTATAGATTGTAATGAATGTATACGTTGATGTTCAAATATAAACAAAATCAACCAACTATTGTGTACTGCGAGAGTCTACCAGATTGCTCAGGTAACTGGTACAGTCTGTTGATCTGATGGATTAATATCTGCTAGAAGAGACATGTAGGCCTGATCTAGCCATCAAAAAATGTATTTTTATTGATCCATCTCAAGTAGTTAGGTCCCAAGGAGGCACTGTTGGTTTCTGCAGAGGTCTCAGTCCCATGAGTGCTTTGAAAAAACCATTTGATTAATAGGTTGTTAGTCAACTTTTCATCAAGATATAACGAGAAAGCTGCTGTGTTAACTTTGAAGGTCCTGACAGCTAGGCTGTGTGTCGGGTCTGTAAATTTGTCCTGGCCCAGTGACAGTAGCTTCCCTAGACCTTCCAGTAGCTGGATCCAGGTCTTCCCTTTATTATTTTATCTTCTGGGGGCATTGTGGGTAAACTCAAGCTTGTATCCCTCCCTAATAATGCTTATGAAAAACAGATTGGACCACTGCTCTAACCATCAGAGGAAGAAGGCCCTCCATCTTCCGCTGACAGGTCATCACTGGGTTTTGGGAGTTGTACTAAGAGGGTTGAAAAATAAGCCCCCTTTTTCCTTCCCTCACCTTTCTTGTTGTTTAATTTTCTTTTTTCAAAAGAGTCTTCCATTACTGAATCTGCAATGCTTATCTGTGAAGCCTTTCTTATCAGCGGACTCCTCCAGTTTCTTCTCTAGTTGAGGAGCAAGCAGCTGTTTTCGGTTGAACAGGAGGCCTGTCCTCCACTGAGGCATACCATCAGACCCTCATAAAAGTGATCATGTTATCTGAAAGCCCTCCAGTGCTTTTAAAAACAATACCAAGTTGGAGGCTGCAGCAGCAGCAGCTGTGAGCCTGCCATAACCCCTTGTATAATGTGCCGTTTAAACAAAAAAAAAAAAAAAAAAAAAAAACTTGTACCTTGGTGGATAAGGGGTTCAGCTCTGTCTTGTGTTTCCTGCAGGTGAGCAGAACCATCTTGCTACTGAATCATTCTGGAAGATGTTGGGGAAAAAAAACTGCAATGCTACTAAGATGCAAATGGTCAGTTGCTTCCTGCCTTCCTTTTTTTTTTTCAAACAACCAAAAAAAGTTCAGCAAGAGTACTACTTTGGGTATTAAAACAAAGATAAAAAGAAAACGGTGACAGTGTTATTTTAAAGAACATTATGGGCAACAAATTTCCTTTCAGTTTCGGATGGAGTAAGGAAGGGTTAAAGCCTCTGTTGATGTATGTCTGTATGCTGCTGGGTGATTTCCCTTCACTTACTGTCTTGGAGAGGCATCTGGACAAAAGCCTCACAAAAGCAAGGGAAGTCCCCTCTTAACCACTTCCCATCCACCCCATGTACATAAAATGGCCAGAGGGAAGCAGTGCAGGAGCAGGTTGGTGTTCATAAACTGCGCCCACATTTTAAGGTCGTGCATGCTCCCTGGGAGCGCGCAGCACTGCGATCCGGTGCCAGCTGTGTCCGAACACTGATCACTGTATGGGACCTTTCTGTGAGGTCCCAATCATGTGATTGCTGATTGGCCAATCAGCGATCACGTGAATAGTAGTAAGCAAGATGTCACTTTGACATCATTGCTTACTGCATGTGAAATCTGGCAATGATCACAGAGGTCACGTGGTACAAGGCTATTCAAAACAGCCTTGTACCATGTGACAAGCTGTGACCAATCACAGCTCTCAGTATTTCTCCATGGCTGCAAGAATGCAGCCAGAGAGAAGGAGAAATGATTGCTTTTACAGCCTTTATGGGTGTAAAAGCAATCAGTGTTAAAAAAAACAAAACCTTCATCACCCCCCACAAGTAGTATGGTGACAAATGCTGTTAGGGTGACAGTATGTTAAAAAAAAACATAAATAATATAAAAAAAAAATAAAAATGTAAAAAAAAAAAATTAAAAAATTATAATTTTTGGTTATAAACTAATTTAGGTTATTTTATTTTTCACTAAAAAGATAAAAAATAAATTTTATCTGTCTCAAAAAAATGCATATGGGTACAGTGTTGCATGGCCACGCAATTTTCATTCAAAGTATGATAGCGCTGAAAGCTGAACAAAATGAACAGGAAGGGAGTAAAAGTATCCGGACTTGAAGCGGTTAAACAAGTTTTTACAGGAACAAGTGTTCTCATTAGAAAATGTCTTTCTTCCTGTTCTGGTGACAGTTAAAAAAGGTGTATTTTTCATTCAATTCTGTCCCAGCGACAATGGTTACCAGGACAAAAACAAAATCTACCCAAAGAGGACACAAAGTAATTAAAACCTAGAACAGAACAGGGGTTCTAAGTCTTCTCCACTCTACAGCTTTGCCTATACATACATTTTAAGCCAAACCACCACACACTGTACAATATAAAACACAATTGTATGCTACACCAGTCATGCACAAGCAGAATATGCTGCACAAGCAGAATATGGTGGTCCAAGAAAAAGTACAAGCAAGTGTATGTAGTGACTGATCCTGAAGAACTACTGGAGACACCTAGGGGCCAAAGATATGAAATGCAAGTTTTCTCAAAAGAGAAGGGAAAAGTAAATATACACCCCACTCATATACACATATTCTGCTGTGTGCACCACTTGTCATCAAACTGATAGATCTTGCTACAGTATTTGTCTTCATTTGCCATATTTAAGCAACAACATTAAAACCAAGATTTTTTGGCAACTCTGCTCTGAATTCAGGACCAGTGTAGCATTTTTGGGCCCCCATCATCAGAAGCTGTATTAAGGGGACTTCACTGGAAGGTGTAACAGGTATTTGTAGGACTTTGTAGGGGTCTAAGAGAAAAACTTCAACCACAGATTCACTTATAATTAAAGTGGTATTAAAACTAAAACCCCAAAAATATTATATATTGCAGCTTTCCAATTAGATGTGGTGACTGCAGGGGCGGACTGACCATTTGGAAACTCGGGCACTGCCCGGGGGCCCGGGTCAGTAGGGGGCCCCATGAGATGCCCTTGGTACCTTTTTCATAGGCTTTTTTGAGTTTGGGCAAGGACACAGGGGCCCCATGATCCCCTATTGCCCGGGGGCCCCATGAGTTGTCAGTCCACCCCTGGGTGACTGCATTCGTTTTCTTTTATGCTGCTTCCCCTGGTTATCTGGCCAATAACACACCTCCTGTATTAGAGTGCCCGCACTTTGAATGGAGGAGCACAGGTGCACCTTTGGACAGCAGAACTGTCAGTCTGGAAGGAGGGTAATGTTGGATTTACTAGCAGATTTAGATATACTAACAAACGGAAGCCGAATTCCAGCTCTAACTGCAGTTAGAGCAACATTTTTATCCTTTGGGAGGTTTTACATAAATAAATAGGAGCTAATGATTGTAAGAGCCCCTATCAGTGGTAAATTGCCTCAATACTCCAACTGATACATGTATAAGAAAGATTGCTCTGTTGAAAATCAGACTTACTGGATAGATTACCAGATGAAAATAAAGGAAAAAAGGTTTAAAAAAGAAAATGAATGCAGTCACCACTTCTAAGAATTGATAAGCTGCGATATAATAAAGGTTTGCTTTTGGGTTTAATACTGCCTTAAAGCGTAACAATACTCCCCTCCAATCATGTGATGCGCTGTCCCAGAACTCCCAGCCTGGTCGCTGACATCTATGTGCGACTGGCATCAGGGTGCCAAATGCCAACCACTGTCATTTATGGACGGGGATGACTTGGAGTTATGTCAAACTGGGCATTGTCGAATTTGTACAGTTAGCTGCGCCTGCGCAACTCACTGTACAGGGGTGGACAGGCAGGTCCTGAAGCAGCATGAATGCAGAAGAGACAAAGCATGTCTCTTCTGCATTAAAAATCCTGCCTGTCTGCCCATTTTTACTTTCTACCTAAAGTTCCACTTAAAGTGCTGCAACACATTTTTTTTTTTTTTTTTTTTTTAAATAAGAGGTCATAGTTTTACTTAGTGTTCTGTCAGGATCGTCTAATTCATTTGATGCATTTCTGCTACATTTCCCATAAAAAATGATGATTGGATCAAGAGAATAACAAATTAATCAGTTTTTTATTAGCCCAAATATTTCAACACAGATATGTGGACGATCACACACAATTTTAGAATATGGCCAATTATGATTTGAGAATGATTATCTTCAGGGCACACCATTCTAGATGCTTAAAGCAGTATGAAGCCACCAAAAAAAATGTAATAGATTGCAGCTTTCCAATCCTTAGACGTGGTGGCTGCATTTTTTTTAGAATGTTGCCTTTATTTCCACCTGAGAATCCAGCCAGTAAGTCAATTTCCCTTAAAGTGGTAATAAACTTTCTTTTTTAAAAAATTGCTGACAGGCAGGATATTTATGACCGAAGGGACCCTATCGATCTCTTCTATCATAAATGCTTCCTCCTGCCTGTCAGCCGTCATGTACACTGAGCCACACATGCGCAGCTCAGTGAACATCTAAGACCTCAAATGGTGTCGCTGTGCGGGAGTGACATCATCACGGTGCAGCCATTCAAGAGGCCGAATGCACAGAACCCCGAAGGAAGACTGGGCAAAGATGGAAACGCTCAGGACCCGCCGGATCATTCACCGCACAGCGTTGGAGGACTCAGTTTGACAGGTAAATCTGTCATAATGTGCTAATATGAACTGCATATTAGCGGACTTTACTACTGCTTAACAGACCAAACTGTTTAAAGTGGCAGTTAGAGGGTTGACACAAACCATTTAACATTAACAGGGGCGCTTACAATGATCAGCTTTTATTTATGTACAACCTTTATCACACAAGGAAAAAATACTATTACTGTAACTGCTTAAAGAATGTTAGCTGGAATTTGGATTTAATTTGTTAGTCAACTCCATCTAAATCTGCTAATGCAACTAACACTACCCTCTCCCCAAACTGACTATATTGCTATCCAAGGGTATCTAAATTTCTCCTGCATTCAGAATGGAGAAAACCTGTTACTGGCTGGATCACCAGATAAAAAAAGAGAATAAAAAAAGCCAAAAAACAAGAAACCAATGCAGCTACTACACTAGGGATTGATAAGCTGCAATATATTACATTTTTGTTTTTGGGTTTATCAACACTTTAACCGCATTCCCGCCTCCCTATAGCAGATACACTGCTACAGGGCGGCAGGGGTGTGCAAAATCACGTATATATATGTGATTTTGCATTTCCAGGTAGGCGCGTGCACCCTACCCATGCTGCCATTCACAGCCGCGGCTGTCAATCACTGGGTCCTGGCCAGTGATTGCCGAGCACCTCCAATGGGGGGGGGGGGGGGGGGGGGAGAGAAGAACTGTTTGTAAGCAAAACAGTTCTCCTCCCTGTCAGCTTGTGCACACTGCTTTACAGTGAAGCACACACACACAGCCCCTAGTAAAACACACACAGCACACAGTTAACTCTTTGATTGCCCCTCGTGTTAACCCCTTCCTGCCCATTAGTACAAGGTCAGTGCTTTTTATTAGCAGTGATCACTGCACTGGTGTCACTGGGGATGTCAGTGACAAGTTAGTTCCCCCCAGTGTCAGAATGCCCGCCGCAGTTCCGCTATGAGTTGCTGATCACCGCCATTACTAGTACAAATAAAAAAAATACCAGTATGTATACCGCCACTTGTAAACACTACAACTTTCACGTAAATCAACTAATTTACATGTATTGAGATTTTTTTTAGCAAAGACATGTCGCAGAATTACATTTTGGCCTAAATTTATGACGAAATTTGATTTTTTACTGAACATGTTTTTGTCTCAAAATTGTCTTTATTTATAGTGCAAACAATAAAAAACGCAGGCAATCAAATACCACCAAAAGAAAGCTCTGTTCGTGGGGGAAAAAAAAAGGATGTAAATTTAATTTGGGTGCAGCGTTGCATGACCACGCAATTGTCAGTTAAAGTAATGCAGCGCCGTAACGCAAAAAGTGGCCTGGTTAGGAAGGTGGGAGGTAAATCCTCTGGAGGGCAAGTGGTTAAGGAGAAGACACAAAATCTATTTTTTTTAAATGATTTTCCTCTCACTATCTGTAATATGGTGTAAAGCCACTTCACTTCCCCTGCCCTCCTGATAGATCACAACACACTAAAAGGATACACAAAGAACCAAGCTGTGAAAAACATCCCGATTGCCATTAGGACAACCGTGAGGTGCGGGAACACTGCCGGGTTCACCGGACTTGTATATCGGCTCATTGCTTCCAACTCCTGAAAACAGAAAATGGAAAGTTTGAGAAAGCAGATGAAAAAAACATACATTACTACAATCATATAACAAACCCCATTTTAGTCATTAAAACTGAATTCTGGGATAAGCAAATATTGTCTAAATACAAGATTCCTGTGTATTCTTCCTTCAGTGTGGATTCACACATGTGCGGTGTGGATTGAAGCTCAGGTTTCACAACTAATTGACACAGTAGTGGTTCAGATCAGGTTTAGATCAGGTTCGGGTCAGGATTTTATCCTGATCACAACTGATGACGTGCGGTTTAGAAACGGTTCCCATAGAAGTCAATATCCTGTAATCCGCACTGCTCAGAAATCGGACGTGCCTTTTTAAACCACACTGAATCCGTACCGGACGTATGTGAACAGGCATCATAGGAAGCAATGGTTTTGCACATCATGCAGATTGGATGCGGTTCAAACCGCGTCAAATCCACATATATGTGCTATGCAGTAATCCCGTGTGAAACTTTCCCTCTGTGCAGGAGCTTCCTGTAATAAACACCAGTCACTGCCGTCCCCTCTCCTTGTGCACAGTGACTGGTTTTGTCTCTGACCATTTCTGTAGTTTTCTGTAGGCTGCCTAAGTTTATGTATAGCTGAGTGATGATGCCATTGCTGCTTTTACAAGGCAATATCTGGATTTGCAAAGCCATTTGGTGCACACAAGGGGATTTATACCCTTGAGGAATATATTAAAATGTTGTACTATAAGTTAAACTTTAAAGCTCAACCAGCCAAATCATTTCACTCTGTTTTGGAATAGAGCAGGGAAGGATTGGAGCCTCTGTTTGATTTTTATTACATATTCCCTGTTTTGGAAATTTCCCGACTTCCTGTTAGAACAGAAAATGAGGGAAAAGCCTTTCAATGGGGACACAGATCAGAAAAAATCATATATATGTGTGGAACATCTGACAATGGTTTTATTGTTGTCTGTCCTGGTGTCTCGCTCCTACATTTTTTTCGACGTACTTTAAAATACTAAAGATGCTGCTGCCTCAAGTAAACAGATACCAAACAAGTTAAGATATAAAATCATCATTGCTTCCAGGTTCATTTGTCCCAGAAGAGATTGAGGAACGAATGGTCCTCCATCTCCTCTGTGGGAAGCCATTTAACTGCTTACCCCGACTCAGGGCTCCCTGGGGAAAAGGGAGAGCCAAGGAACCACCGGTGGTGGGGTGAGGTACATCTTCAGCGCAATATTAGGCTGTTATGGGATTGCCAAAACTGGTATGTTTGCACATGTGCTGTAAATTCCTGTGTGCTGAGGGGCTCTGCCAGGATCAGAAGGCTTGGTAGAGCCCTCCAGCACATGTGAGAAATACCAAACTGATGGCATCAGGGTGAAAGACTCAGATAGGTCAAACAAAGGGAGGCAAAGTTCCTCTTTCATTTTAGATGTCTTTTTAAGTTTGCTTTTAGGAACATGTTACATCCATATTTAGGGTGTAACATGCTCCTATACATACACTTCCATCCACCAGCGCTCTCCACTCTGTGACAGCAGGCAGGGGATCTTCACCCCATACCCACTGTCGCTTTTTGAAAACAGCATGGCTGTGCGGGGCTCCTCCCACCCAGCTGTGTCATTCATTCACTGTTTCCTTGCGGGACTTATATAAGCATTTGCGCCTGAACACTGGGGATGGGAAACTTTTTTTTTTTTTTTTACATGCTGTTCCTTTAATTTTTCTTGATTAACTTTATTGCTATCACAAGGGATGAACAACATCCCCTGTGATAACAAGAGCCATGACAGGTCCTCTTTTTGGAGGGATCTATTAGAGCCCATATCTGTCCTCTGGCCTCCAGTGCAGCCGATTACACACAGATCGATCTGATTGGCTGCTTTCCTAGCTGTTAATGGCAAAGCAAATGACCAACTGAAAGCAGAAGTGACAACATCCTCATTATCTCTGAGGTCACAGAGCGGGAGAAACAACATCAGTTCCTCTTTCACGGTTTATGGATGGAGATGCCTCTGGTCTGGGCGCTTCCTCGCTCTCTGGTGGGATGGAAAAGCCTGGGGAAAGTGATGGTGGGAGGGGCTACTGCTGCCGTAGAAGTGATGGAGTGGCTGCATAGCCACTCAAATCACTTCCACAGAAAACAGCATCACAGGCTGTAAGGCCTGGTTCACGCCTATGCATTTTTTGTGCATTTTGCAGAAACGCACTACAGCCCATTTACCCACCTCCCGTCCGGCCATTGTATATAAATGGCCAGACGGTGACAGTGCAGGGTTGGCTGGCCGTTTATAAACAGCCTCCCCGCCCCCTGCTTGTGCACGCTCCCTGGGAGCGCGCAGCACCACGATCCGGTGCCCGCTCTGTCCTCCGGACACAGTGAAACACAGATTGTCGTACGGGACCTCTCTGCGAGGTCCCGATCATGTGATCACTGATTGGCCAATCACTGATCACATGCAGAGTAGAAAGCAAGATGTCACTTCTGACATCATTGCTTACTACGTGTGAAATCTGCGAATGATCACAGAGGTCACATGGTACAAGGATATTCACAACAGCCTTGTACCATGTGACAAGCTGTGACCAATCACAGCTCACACAGTAGTTCTCAATGGCTGCAAGAATGCAGCCAGAGAGAAGGAGAAATGATTGCTTTTACAGCCATCACCTCCCCTCAAGTAGTACAGTGTCACCATGGTGACACTGTACTGCTAGGGTGACAGTATGTAAAAAAAAAAAAAAAAAACGTAAATAATAATATGAAAAAATAAATAAAAATGTAAAAAAAAATTTTTTTTAATTATAATTTTTGGTTATAATAAACTAATTTGGTTATTTTTTTTTTTAGCTAAAAAGATAACGGAATACGTTTTGGCCAAGATTTATGATGAAATATTATTTATTTGCAAAATTTTATAAGAAAAACACTTTTTTCAAAAATGTTGGACATTTTCATTTACATAGCAAAAAAAATAAAAATCCCAGTGGTGAATAAATACCACCAAAATAAAGCTTTTATCTGTTCCAAAAAAATGCTAAAAATTTAATTTGGGTACAGTTTTGCATGACCGCGCAATTGTCATTCAAAGTGTGATAGCACTGAAAGCTGAAAATTGGCCTGGACAGGAAGGGGGTAAAAGTGTCCGGAACTGAAGTGGTTAACACGGTTTCCTATGGGACACGTTCACATCTATGCCGCATTTTTGGAAAGGGTCAGGGACTATTTTAAACAGAACATGGTGCGTTTTTGGTTCAGTATACTTCAATGGACACGTGGCCGAATTGCATATAGTGCGTTTTGCTTTTTTTTGCCAATAGGCAAGTAATGACTTTGATACCACTTTGATGTGACTTTGGATGGGTGAGACATTGTTTTTTTTGTTAATAGGAAATGACAATTAAGTAGCATCAAAGTCACAACAAAGTTGCACCCATCCAAAGTCACATCAAAGTTGCACCCATCCAAAGTCACACCAAAGCTGCACCCATCCAAAGTCACATCAAAGCTGCACCCATCCAAAGTCACACCAAAGCTGCACCCATCCAAAGTCACAAAGTTGCACCCATCCAAAGTCACATCAAAGCTGCACCCATCCAAAGTCACATCAAAGCTGCACCCATCCAAAGTCACATCAAAGCTGCACCCATCCAAAGTCGCATCAAAGCTGCACCCATCCAAAGTCGCATCAAAGCTGCACCCATCCAAAGTCGCATCAAAGCTGCACCCATCCAAAGTCACATCAAAGCTGCACCCATCCAAAGTCACAAAGTTGCACCCATCCAAAGTCACACCAAAGCTGCACCCATCCAAAGTCACACCAAAGCTGCACCCATCCAAAGTCACAAAGTTGCACCCATCCAAAGTCACACCAAAGCTGCACCCATCCAAAGTCACACCAAAGCTGCACCCATCCAAAGTCACATCAAAGCTGCACCCATCCAAAGTCACACCAAAGCTGCACCCATCCAAAGTCACACCAAAGCTGCACCCATCCAAAGTCACACCAAAGCTGCACCCATCCAAAGTCACACCAAAGCTGCACCCATCCAAAGTCACACCAAAGCTGCACCCATCCAAAGTCACACCAAAGCTGCACCCATCCAAAGTCACACCAAAGCTGCACCCATCCAAAGTCACACCAAAGCTGCACCCATCCAAAGTCACATCAAAGTTGCACCCATCCAAAGTCACATCAAAGGTGCACCCATCCAAAGTCACACCAAAGCTGCACCCATCCAAAGTCACACCAAAGCTGCACCCATCCAAAGTCACACCAAAGCTGCACCCATCCAAAGTCACACCAAAGCTGCACCCATCCAAAGTCACATCAAAGGTGCACCCATCCAAAGTCACATCAAAGCTGCACCCATCCAAAGTCACATCAAAGCTGCACCCATCCAAAGTCACATCAAAGGTGCACCCATCCAAAGTCACATCAAAGTTGCAGCCATCCAAAGTCACAACAAAGTTGCACCCATCCAAAGTCACATCAAAGTTGCACCCATCCAAAGTCACATCAAGTTGCACCCATCCAAAGTCACATCAAAGTTGCACCCATCCAAAGTCACATCAAAGTTGCACCCATCCAAAGTCACACCCATCCAAAGTCACATCAAAGTCAATACTTTCCTATTGGCAGAAAAAACTGCAAAATGCATCAAAAACACAAAACAAGCTGGAAAAATGCATCAATCGCAACATGCAGAAGTGTGAAACTAGCCAAAGTGTGAAGGATGCCTATAGCTGTATAACCACTTAGAGGATAAGTTCACCTTTTGGACAAAAATAATAAATGCACATTTTTTTGCAGGTAAAAATAAATGTGCATTTATTATTTTTGTCCAAAGGAGCCTGGAAAGCATTGCACCAGTGCTTAGTAGATGGCTGATGCCATGCAGGTCTCCTGCAGACCTGTCAGAACATCTGCTTGCTGTATGGGATGTACGGGCAAGCAGATATACTGACAGGAATCTTCAATGAACGACCATGGA